GTAGGACTTTTCTTATGTTCTTAAGTTATGCTTTTATATTTCCCCACATTGTTTGCTGATTTGGATTCGGTTGTGGTAGACTTGTACTCTTTCTTACAGCTATCTCCCACTTGCCCTTTCTTCATTTACTTCCTGCTCAATTTATTTCTTTTGTTTAAAAGAATACCAGAGTGCTGTTGCATGTACTGGTGTTGAAAGACAAATATTTTGATGTCATAGGAACTCCAGTTTCAACGGGGGGAGGGGGTCATGATTGTGTTTCTACGCACCAGCCCATTACAAGATTGTATTAAATTTACAGGTTCATTGGTGTCTTACCAGAGTTTCAGAAACTAAGTACGTTTTTTTTTTTTAAGTTTCAGAAACTAAGTATGTGTGTGTTTTTTTTAAAGCTTTGGTAATTACCCTTCCTGATCCTTTGAGGCTGGGAGGAATAGCTGCAGTAATATCCCAGTGGTCATTCTGATCCTTTAATGAGTAGTGTCGGTAGTGTGACCTGTTGCTGTTTTCCCCACCTGGGGAGTAAGTACAGTGGTGCTGAAAAAGTCATAACTCCCCCTAGTCTTAAAGGAACTGATGAGACAGTTGTAATATTGCCTCATATGCTGCTTATATATGAGATGCTGCCCAGGGCTTTCATAGTTTTCTGCTGTACATATCATAACTCTGTGGTAGTCCAGGTGTTTTGTATGTAGAATGCCATGTTTGCTATTTGGCATCTTCACTTTAAAATATCTTCTGTAATGGTGAGGAAAATCCTCTGGCTCAGTATAAAGCAGATACATGTAGTACATCTGTGTTGGGTTGTGCTGGTCTTTTCCCCCCTTGGGTAAAGAGAGTACCGTGTGGCTTTTCTAGTCCTGGCTGGGAAGAGGTGCTGCCACTAGGGTTAAACATCCTGGTGGAGCATGCAAGAGTCTTTATTTATTTATTTATCTATCATATTTATACCCCGCCCATCCCGCGAACGGCTCAGGGCGGCTAACAAAGCGGTACCATGTACCTAATAATGTTGATTGACAAACATGATGTTACAGCAGTTACGTGATGTTTGGGCACCCTGTGGTCTATATGAAGGTAGCCCACAGTTTAAACTGTTTCAGAATATTTACATGCATGTTTTTTAAACAGTGCTGGTTCTTGTATGAGAGTATAAAATGAATGTGAGTACTTAGGTTTTACAAGTTAAAAGGATGCTACTATGGTGTTTTGTCAGTAACTTATTTTCGTAAGAGGCATTAATAAGGAGTCTGTTAAAATGTGTCTGCCATTTTCCTCTACGGAGTTCTAACTAGTTCTGATGTTTGATACAGTTAATTAGCTCCATCCTGAAAAAGGTAAATTACAGTTATTTATTTATTAGGTTCGATTTTAGACCACCCTTCCCTGGGGAACAAGGCTCAGGGTTGTGTACAGTAATACAAATAATAACATTGATACAAAATCTGTATCAATAAAACCAGTAAAATCCACTAAAACACAGTAAGACCTAACAAGATAATGTTAAGGCCACTGATGAAGCCACTGCCCCGCCAGGGGTGGGGGGAGGAAGACAGGAGTGCCAGACCAATGGGAACTGTTGCTGCCCTTAACGAAACACCTGGTAGAAAACCTCTGCTTTGCAAGCCTTGTGGAACTGGCAGAGTTCCACCAGGTTGGGGCCAGGGCAGAGAACACCCTAACCTTGGTTGAGGACCACCAGCATGTTCTTATCAGCCTAGTATAATGCTCTCTGGGGGCTATACCAGGAGAGGCGGTCCCAAAGGTACATGGGTTCTAGACCATATATCATCATCATCATCATCATCATCATCATCATCATCATCATCATCATCATCATCATCATCATCATCATCATCATCATCATCATCATCATCATCAAAGAGCTGAAGGACAGAACCCCACCAAAGATAGTACTGTGTCACCACAGCAGAAAAGAGTTGGACCCAGAAGCCAGAGTAGTTTTATGCAAGAAGAGAAATGGGTCATTATGCCCGCTGCTAGTCTCAACAAACATGTATATATGTGTGTTTTTTCTCCACTTCTACCATAGAGAGAGAACAAACAAGTGCAGTATAGTTGCAGCAGTTCCAAGACTCCCTCTGGGAAACAGCAGAGTACTCTTTGGATCTGTGTGCTCATTTTCCGAGAAAAAGAGAGTTCATATGGAGTGGTGGTAGGGTTGCCACCAGTGTTCCCTCTAAGCTGAGTTAGTGTGAGCCAGCTCACATATTTTTAGCCTCCAGCTCACAGATTTTTGTCTTAGCTCAGGAAGGAGGGCTCCAGAGCAAACTAAGCTATGCAGTAGCCAAATCACTCGCTCACAACTTTAATGCCAGCAGCTCACAAAGTAGAATATTTGCTCACAAGACTCCAGAGCTTAGAGGGAACATTGGTTGCCACTGCCAGGGGTTGTTGAGAAGCAACTTTTACTTGTTGAAGGTAGCTATGCAAATGTCTGATTACAAACCCAATGCATGGCTCAGTTCAATATGTAACCCTGGGATACAAATCTCAAGGCTTTGCATTTCTTGTATTGTAGAGGACAGAAATAATAGTTCCCCATTTGTGTTTAGTATAGACATCTGCATCATGCTGTGATGCTTGTAATGCTGTTTGAATAATTTAAATCCTCTAGCAGTTAAGGTTTCCCCCAAAAAAACATGTTTTATCTTCATAATCATAATTCAGTGTGGCCTCTTGCAAAGTTTATGGAGAAATAGAATATGGGGGAAGACCCTAATTTCTCACAAGTGAGCCTTCTCCTCTTGCAATTCCTAGCAATATGAATAGTGCAATGATATAAGTAGCTTGCCTCTGTAGTGCATTCCTAAACTTAATGTATTATTCCTATCCAGAACATTGGCATTCATTTAAGTGGGGGCCTAACCTTGACTACGCAATGTGTTGTTTCTAGGTCCACCCTCAGGACTGTCAAGCAGACATGCAGTGGGAGGTGTGCACGGGCCTGATTTGGATCAGGACTACTGCATGCAGCGGGAGGGGTGCTGAAGCCTCCCCCCCCCCCAATGTTATTTTCCCAACCTAAAACAGCCTTGTATAGCTGCTACTTTTCCCTTTGCAGAAACTTAAACACTGTAAGTACATGTGTGGCCTCACACTTTGGAATCAAGTTTCACCTGGGAACATCTGCTTGGCAGTCCCCAGGATATGTCCAGGGATTGACCCAGGAGTAGTGTATCATCCTTGAAGTCAACTTGGCAACTCTAGTTGGTACAAAATGCCACATCTTGGTTACTGTCAGGGGCTAGGCGGAGAATGCATTTTACCCCCATTCTGTAGTCACTTCACTGACTATCAGTTATTGAATTCAGTTCAAGATACTGGTTATTTCCTACAAAGCCCTTTCTGGCCTTGTACTCACATATCTACAGAAGTGCCTCCCTTGCTGTCCTTCACTGTGACAGTTTCAGTGATCTGAGCAAAGCCTTGTGAAGGTGCCACCCTGCAGATGGATAAGACTGACAGCTGCCCATCCATTCTGTGTCGTGACTTCCACTGTGTGAAATGGCCTGCCTTGAGGAAGCCAGGCCAGTATGGTCCTCACACTTCTGTTATTCTGCAGGCTGTGTAAAACAGAATTGTTCAGGAGTGCATTTTTATAAAGGGCTGATTATGAAATAATCATTCAGGAAGATGCTTCTATATAAAAGGAGCACGATTATAGTCAGCTTTTACAATATTGTCTTCTACTTTTAAAATTCCTTTCTTGGCATTGTTTATGGTATCTCATGTATACTTTTTTTTCCTTTTGTGTAATCCTAGTCCTATTGTATTTTTTGCTGGGTATTTTACGCTGCCTGATTACATTGTTTATATTGTGTGATCTGCTTTGATTCTAGGTGAAAAGGGTGGGCTATAAATAACGTAAATAAATGAAGAAATATAGCCAGGCCCTATAACAGTCCTCCAAAGAATGTGCAAATATTGACAGTAACTGAAAGAACATAGCTATCGTTATTCTAGACTTTTGCAAGCAGTGCTTTGCTGTGCACAACTTTATGGTTGATAAGTTGTTTTTGAATTGAAAATGCTAGGGTTTTCCATTGGTTGTGAAGATTTCTAGCAGTCGTACTCCCAGAGAACTTCGCAAACAGTGACTTTTAAAATAATTGAAGGGATTATGCAGGACAGAAAAATATCCTTGCTTTCATGTGCTAATGTAAGCAAATAAAATTTATACCAGTGTCATGAACACAACTTCAAATTGTACTGAGACAGTAGGCTAAATTTTTTACAAAGCACCAATATTTGAGCAAACAATAGAATCATTATGTTGGGATTCATATAGCTTTTTATAAATTGCATATACACTTCCAGTTTTAGACAGTAAAATAAATTATGAAAATTGAATAGTAAACTGTGCAGCACTAAAAGTTCACTCTGACCACATTCGGCCATGATAGACCAGGATGTACAACAGTCCCTCTGGCCGCTTGCATGCCTGCTCCCTCCCATTACCTGTGATGTGCAGATGCAGGCATCTAGGAGTTTAATCCCAGTTTAGAACCCTGGGTGGGGGATAAATTCCTGTTAATCTTTGTGCCTGCATTTATACCTCATGGGCATCCAGAGTTGCAGTACAATACAATGGTTGTGAGTAATATAGTTCTTCAACAATTAAAAACAAAGAGTTACAATACAGTCCTACAGCAGTTACACCCTTCTAAATTCATGGAATTTAGTGGGCTTAGATGGGTGTAACTCTTTTTAGGATTGTACTGTAAATTTCAAACCAGGATTGTCCATATAAACAGGTGACAAGGAAGAACGTGTTTTAAGTATGAGTCCAGTAGCAAGCTGGGTTCGTGCACATGATCCCAACTAGTTAATGCTGACTAGAAGTGACATCTGCATGTAGATTCTGTCTTCTGTGTTTGTACTCAATACCTGGTTTGGTTTGGTTTCCCCTTGAACTGTTTGTAAGTCACCATTTTAGGGAATTTGTAATAACAATTCATTTTCTTTTTGTTTTTTAGCCTCAAGGAATAGGCTCACCTAGTATCTATCATGCTGTGATAGTTATATTTTTGGAATTTTTTGCTTGGGGACTCCTGACTGCACCAACTTTAGTCGTAAGTGATTTGTTTGTTTAACGTACTTGTATGAAATTGAGATGTTGGCCTTAGTATTATTTTGGTAATGGGTTTCACACTAAACTGGCAACGTCACTGAATTAAGTCTTCAGTGAAGTTTATTATGATAAGGGTGTTGGCAGTTCAGCACTCTTGTTTTGAGCACACTTGCTTGGAGATACATTGCACTGAAATTGGTTAAATTAGCTCCTAGGACTCAGGAAAATAACAAGGTGGTGGTGGGGTGCCACTTGTCCTCTGTAGACCCAAACTAAATATCACAGAAACAAACTTTACAAAGCAAAAGGGAGATGGGGATATATTTACTATACAGAATTTGCATTCACGTGTTTTCGTTGTAGATTGTTACTATTAATGTATTTGGTAAAATATTTCATCTAATATAACATATATTAAAGTTTGAAATGGGGTGAACTCTGTGCAAGGGGGCATTTTACACTAGGAAGATTGTTTTCATTAAGTTAAAAGTGCTCTGTCCTTGATGAAATATTCATGTAATCAGATATTCATGGAAACTGGTTTGTCCTGTATTTGATAAAAGGTTAAAAATTATTGAAGAAAATGTGTCTACTCAACTTCCTAATAAGCTAACCTGTAATTGAACTAGTCATTGGTGACTCTGGAGAATGGGAAACAAAAATTAATCCCTTAAAGAAGTTTTAATATGTTGTTTTTGCCATACAGTTTCAAGATTAGTACTTCCAGAGGCAACTCTCCTTTGAGTGCTTCTGTGAAGGGATTGTGTAGCTCTCTCGGTCAATAGATACTGTTGTGCCCCCTGGCTTGGAAATTCTCATGATCATGCTAACAACTTTTGGTTTGTGTGGTTGTGTCCTGTTTTTATTTAAAGAAAGATCAGCTTAGGGATTCTACCAATCTAGGGTCGCGGTACCTTTCTTAACCTCTGATATGTCCACTGGCTGCATCTTCTACCCTTCTAGCGCAGCTAAAATCCACAGTCCACAGCCACAAATTGTGCAGCACATGCAAATAAGCTACATGAGTGGCAAGCAAATTCTTGGTTATTAATGCTATTCCTATATTTTCATGCTTTTGATGCCTACTGTTGTGGTTATAATTGTATCTGTGTATATGCATATGACAAATAGGAAATTAACTGAATTTGCAACCGACATATGGTGCCCAAGTAGGTGTGCTCAAAACAAGAGTGCTGAACTGCCAAGTCCAACACCCTTACCATAATAAACTTCACTGAAGACTTAATTTAGGGATGTTGCCAGTTTAGTGTGCCCAAGACCCAAAGTGGCACATTGTACGCATAGGAAAGGATATCAAAAAGGTCAAAGCAAGAGTGATTCTCTCCACTATTGGTTCCAATTGTGCTACATTGCCAAACGATACTCTGTTGAGGCTTTCTGCACAAAATGGACCTATCAGTTGTTGGGTTGTTCATGTTAGAAACCATTCCCATGCTGTTATGCACTTGCATACCACAATGTAGAAAATAAACCATGTCCTCAGCTGGGTAGTGTTTGCGACCTCTGTCCCCAATCCACTTTTTTATGGTCAACAGCACACTGTATCTTGTAGATAGCAATGTGTCCGCCATACAGTATTCATTCAGCAGAGTAGTTTTCTGTTTTGATGGAAAATTTGTCAGTCCTGCCTGTAGAAAATAGCCTCAGAACTCTTCCACAGGCAGGAGAGGGGGCAGTTTTGCCAATTCCCCTGCCTACAGACCTCCAGCTCTCTCTCCATGCTGCTCCTGTGGTTTACCTTTTCCCCATTTATTTCAGCTGTTGATAGGAGTAGCTTTGCATAGGCTCACAGTCTAAATGTTGTAATCTATGCTCATCTGCCACTGTATAATATAGCATGTGCATAATTGTTCCACAGGTTTTGCATAAAACCTTTCCAAAGCATACGTTTTTAATGAATGGCCTGATTCAAGGAGTGAAGGTAAGATAATTTGAAATCCTTTTCCATTGGTGTCACCACCTGACTTAATAAATGTTGAGCTGTTACATTTGACTGTCCAATAGACAGTGATCAGTTATTCCATTTTGCAGTTTTCTGAACATGTGAGTACAAAAAACTGGAGGAGGAAACCTTCCTGAGGGCTTACCTGTTGAACCTGGAGCATAGTTCTTGCTGACGTGGTAAACTAGTTTCTGGGTACATCACTGCAACTACAAGTGGAGGTTTTGACTGTATGCTCTTCCACACGTATACACACACAAAGTCTCCATATGGAAGTTAAAAGAGAAGGGTGCTATCTTAGTCCTCTGCATGATGTATTGGGTTTCCATACAGAACATTTTTTTGTGTATGTTGAGGAGCATGCAGTCATACTGAGACACATTTCCCACCTCAGTGAGAACCAGGCTTGTCCAAATTGGAATTTCACAGAACTCTGATTCTTCATTTTAGGGTGGAAATTCAAAGGAGTCATCTGGCTCACTATTATTGTCGATGTGGGAGAGAGATTAAGTAAGGAATTGTTACCTTAGACCAAGGCCATCAAACTCTTGTGGATTTGAGGGCCATGTTCTTTGCTTGGGGTCTACACCCAAACATTTTCACCAACAAGAGCACTGGTTTGTTGGGACACTAAATAAAAATAAGCCCTTACAATTCTTCCACACATCCCTTTCCCAGTACCACAGTTGAACCCAGTTGCTAATTTTCGTCAGCCAGGTCTGATCTCCCTGCACCTCCTTCCCTCATCTTCGATGCCTTGTTCCTCAAGTTATCTTTTATTCTCCAAAACCCATTAATTTGTTTAGGCACTTTTATCCTGCTTCTCTTATGCCAAAGGAACTTGCTGACCGAAGCTACCAGCCTACATGTCACCTAGATCATCTTCTCAAAAAGCTGTCATGACCCCCTTTTCTGTAAATTTTGTCTTTGACTGAAAAAATGCACACATTCACACTCTGCTGACTTTATCCCACTGTCCATACAGCTTGACATTTATTCTGTGATATGAGACTGATACTGAGGTGTGTCTTATCTGCCATTATTACATCTACCATTTTTCTCCAGTAAAGAGATCACTGTCTAACCTTGAAAATGACCACTTTGTGTGTGTAGTGTGGCAGGGATGTCATAATTTATATTAAAAAACAAACCCCAGCTTTATGTTTAGCAGCCCTGCCTTTGACTTTCACTGTGGTCTTATTTTCAAACTGTAGTCCCTTTTGAGCTAGATGGTCTAACCTGACTTTCACTGCCCACCTCCTCTATGTATTTTTACACCATACTTTTGGCATTCTGCTACAATTTCTTGCATGTCTTAGAGACAGTGGCATAAGACCATACCTGGGCTCAAAGATAGCTTAACATTCTTACACTTTTTTTTCTGGGGTAGGTTGAGCATTTTCATTTCAGGCCCATTTGAAATGTAAGTGATGAAACTATACTTCTGATGCATTGTTGTGAAGAAGGAAGGGGTGGTGGGGAAGGATGTCTAAGGGATATTTTTTTAAAAGCTTTTTTTCAAAATAATAGATTTTTTTTTAAGTAGTATTGCAAATAATTACTAAAAGTTTGCCCACTAGCAACACAACTTGCTTGTTTCATCTTCCCTTGTTACCACTGCATCTTTACATTGGTGTTGCCTCCCCAAAGTGTTGTTGCATTCGTCTCACGTTCATCCCTTGGCCCTTCAGAGAAAGGTAAGGTAGCCAGGAGAGCACTGCAGTATTCTTTCCAGTCTTAGAAATGGCACTCTGTTACCTTTATCAGACCAGAAAGATCGCCACAGATAAGTGATCTCTCCCTATTTTTATAGAGCATCTAGAGGTTACTTTGATGCCCTGACTCTCTCTACCACTGCCCTGCAAATATGTCTGCAAAATTTATTAGCCTGCTTGCTCACACGTACATGGCTGATTCACTTGAGCATGCTGATGGCCTAAAAACTAAACAATTGCCTTGTCTGGGTTACATAAATTTCCCCGTCTGGTTGCCTGGAGGCAGTTCATGCTCAGTCCAGCCAGCCTGGCGAGAAGCTAACGAACTTGCTTTAGAGCAGAGGGAAAGGCTTCTGCAACAATGCAGTTTTCTCAGGTCAAAAAGAGTTCCATGGATTGTGTCTTCCAGCTTTAAACAGCAAAGAGGTTCCCCTACTACTTCCACAGTGCACTTTCTCTTTCTGGAAAAGAGTTTTTTGCTAGCAGGGGACGGAAAACAGCGTATGGTGGCTGCTGCTCATCTCATGCTGATTGCTGCAAGGAAGTGGCAAACTGTCACTTGGGTTAAAAGCAGGTCCCTAAGTCCTGAGCTGAATCCCACGGATCTGTTCTTCTAATCACAGAGCCTTCTCTGGTGTATGGAGACTTGTTCTTTTTTATCTTTAAAACATTTTAATTGACATTATTACAATATATATACACAAAACAACACATCAGTATCGTACAACCTTGTGATAAGTAAGATATTGAATGTATAAGATGCATAGAATGTCATACAGAAATACTTCTCAATTATGTTGCGTTAGAGAAGTGGATCATAACATCGAATTTAAATCAACCAACTACCAAACATATGTCAGGTATCAATCAAGTTTATATGAGCCAGTTTTTTAGGAACCACATTGTGAGAAGCCAAATAAGCTAATACAGGAAACCACTTTCCTACAAGTTTGGAATATATGTTACTTTGAGTTATTTAATCAGTGATCAGTGGAAGGCTCCTTTTGCTGGGGGCTAGAGTGCTGCCATTTGCAGAACAGATCTGGAGAATCCAACCCAGTGTCTTAAAACTTTCCACCTTCCGTTTGTTTGCCTTCACTTAAAATATTTGGGTTTTCTTCACAGGGTTTGTTGTCTTTCCTGAGTGCTCCTTTGATTGGGGCCCTGTCTGATGTTTGGGGCCGAAAGTCCTTCCTGCTGCTAACAGTATTTTTTACTTGTGCGCCAATTCCACTAATGAAGATCAGCCCATGGTTAGTGGCCGTTTCAGAATTTGCCTTTGTATGTTGATTGTGTTAGTGCCATACAGTTAAGTTTCCCCCAGAAGTCTGGCTTTAAATGTCAGGCTCTCCTTTGATCAGTTTCAGCTGTTTTTGTGCAGGCCTTGATTAGGCCTGTTGGCACAGTACCAGGCCACCTACCAATGAATGCATTGTGTGTCCTTGGCTTCCCTCCTTGTTTTGCTGCCTGACAGTGCTGAAAGCTAACAAGGCAACACTCTGAGGGCTTTTTGCAGTGTTCACGCACACACACACACATACAAACACACCCCGTTTTGTTTGTCCACTAGATGTATCCCTAAGCTTGTTACCTCAGGCTCATGGGGTTCTACTGTCTCTCCTCTTGCAGCTTTTATGTGTTACTGGTATAAAGTGAGCTATATATTTTGCCACAGGGCTTCTTCATATATGTAATGTGTACTTCTTAATCCAGGGCCTGTTTAGATACACTGACACTGTTATTTTTAGGTTCATTTTCTTCCTGAAATACTCTGTCAAGCAGGCACTAAGGAAAGCTCAAGAACCCGTTTTTCTTGATTTAAGTAGATTTATCCCTTGTAAATGGAGCTGCGGTGGCTCAAGTGGTTAAGATGCTGAACTGCAGGCTGTGGAAGGTCAGTAGTTCAGCAGTTCGAAACCCGAGTGCCGCAAGACGGAGTGAGCTCCCATCTCTAGTTCCAGCTCCTGCCAACCTAGCAGTTCGAAAGCAAGAAATTGCAAGTAGATAAATAGGTACCACTTCGGTGGGGAAGGTAACAGCATTCCGTGCGCCTCGGTGTTTAGTCATGCCGGCCACATGACCACGGAAACGTCTTCGGACAGCGTTGGCTCTTCGGCTTTGAAACGGAGATGAGCACCACAACCCTAGAGTCGGATTCGACTGGCTTTCGAGCAAGGGAACCTTTACCTTTTTACTATCCCTTGTAAAGTTTGAAATTCTCTACAATTACAAATTCACTGACTGCTCAGAGCTGCTCTGACTGAACTATAAAACAAGACTGTAAGTTGTAATGATTTTCTGGTTGAATTGTCTGTGGCATATTAGACTATTTAAAAACCTATTTGCCTGTAATTGTGTTCCAAACCCATTTTGATGTTACAAAGAAGGCACTAGCAGTAAAAGAGGGGGGGGGGCTGGGATCCCAAGAGCTATTTTAGGTGCACCTTTAGACGTGCCCAGTGTTGGGTCTTAATTCTATTTTTGCTTGGCCTGTTTCGTTTGTCATTTTTATATCCCATCCTTCCTCTAAGGCGTTCAGGGTGGCATATATAAGGTTGTCCCACTTCATCCGCACAACTAAATTGTGATAGTTAGGTTAGTTAAAAATACAGTGGTTTGCTTAATTCTCGTGAGCTTCGTGGCTGAACAAGGATTTGAAGCTATGCCTCCCCAATCCAAGTCTGGCGTCCTGTTGATTACATTTAGTGTCACCAGGGTAGTGGCACTGCAGGAAGTGACAGTCTCCGTCCAATGGACTGATAATCTGTATTAGATAGACAATGCTGATGTAGAAGACAGATCAGGGGTAGATGTGAAGTGCCTTGTACAGAAATGGCTCATTGGTCCATCTAGCTCAGCAAGGCCTTTCCCAGCGCCCAGCTTTCCTGAGTGGCATATTGGGAGTGAGAAGCAGGTAAAATAAGGAGAGCATCGTAGAGATGGCAGAAGAGAACAGTTGGACTGCATTTTGTGAAATCAGGCTGCTTAAGGATAGCAAGCAGCTAAATACTGGCATGAAGTCCGTTAAGTGTGGTTTGATCACAAAATCTCACCACTGAATTCCCAAAGGATTTTTGGAGAGAGTTATGTTTTAATTGCATCCACAGAGAAGAGATGGCATTGTACTTAGCGATGTTAATAAAGCATGCCTGTGTGAGATTAAAAATGCCAGACTGTTTGGACAGGCAGAGTTCAGCCTGGGTAAAATGCTTGAACTGTTCATTAATCAAATACCTTTAGTCCTGAGCCTGTGTCTTTTGCTCCTAGGTGGTACTTTGCTGTTATCTCTGTCTCTGGAGTCTTTGCTGTGACCTTCTCGGTGGTATTTGCTTATGTAGCTGATATAACCCAAGAACATGAAAGAAGCATGGCATACGGCCTGGTATGTCTATTTGAGTTCTTCTGTACATTTTAAACACAATAGTCACTGGTAATTAATGTTCCTTTAATGGATGACTCATTTGAGTTTTTTCTATTATTGATGTCAGTATTCTAAAATTGGAGCTGCGGTGGCTCAAGTGGTTAAGACGCTGAACTGCAGGCTGTGGAAGGTCAGTAGTTCAGCAGTTCAAGACCCGGGTGCCGCAAAACAGAGTGAGCTCCCGTCTCTAGTTCCAGCTTCTGCCAACCTAGCAGTTTGAAAGCAAGAAATTGCAAGTAGATAAATAGGTACCACTTCGGTGGGAAGGTAACAGCGTTCCGTGCGCCTTGGGTGTTTAGTCATGCCGGCCACATGACCACGGAAACGTCTTCGGACAGCACTGGCTCTTCGGCTTTGAAACGGAGATGAGCACCGCAACCCTAGAGTCGGACTCGACTGGCTTTCGAGCAGGGGAACCTTTACCTTTACTATTCTAAAATTATGTTTTGCCATTTTCTTTTCTGACAAAATTTGGAGCTAAGAAATAATCTTTCTGTCTTCTCTATTCCTGCTTTCATCTGCAGAGTCCACCTTACATTAACTTATGATGTTAATTCATCCACCAGTTACTGAAAATCAAGCATGGGGTGGGGAAAGTAGATGGTGCTTTTTCTCCCTCTCCCATAATGCTATAACTCAGGAGCACCCAATGAAGTTGATGGGTAGTAGGTACATGACAGAAAAAAATGAATACTTCTGTACTCAGTGTGTTTGTGGAATTCTCTGACAATGGATGTTGTGATGGCCACGATAACAGGTGGCTTCAAAAAGGGGGTTGATGGATTCATGGAGGATAGGGTGCTTAATGAGCTAGGGGAACCTCTGCATTCAGAGAGAGTAAACCTCTGAATATCAGTGCTAGGAGGCAACATCAGGCAAGGGCCTTGGCCTTGACCCTACAGGGCAAACTGATTGGCTGCTGTGTGAAATAGGATGATGGATTAGGTGGACCCCTGGTCTGATCCAACAGAGCTGCTCATATTCTGAGCTGTGCAACAGAAATGGAAACTGTCCAATACTGCTGTCTGATAAAACACTTGATTCTTGAGATTGTGGACATATTTAGGATATTTAGTAAAGGATGTGATTCCTTGCTGAAAGTATTCTCTTTGCCGTGTTTGTAGGTTTCAGCAACTTTTGCCGCAAGCCTAGTCACCAGCCCTGCCATTGGTGCCTACCTTGGTCGAGTGTATGGAGACAGCCTGGTGGTGGTCCTAGCTACAGCCATTGCATTGCTGGATATTTGTTTTATCCTTGTTGCTGTACCTGAATCATTGCCAGAAAAGATGAGGCCTGCGTCATGGGGAGCACCCATTTCTTGGGAGCAGGCTGACCCATTTGCGGTACTGTATTTAAATGTTTGATACAGGCTTGGGCTTGTCTTTAAAAACTGAGCTTTTCATTAATGTATATTACTGTTTTTTTAAATATTATTGCTAAATGATCATATTTGCGATTCTCATTAGTGAGTGTACAGTGAATGTCCAGGGAGTAGGTTTTGCATGCTTAACTTTTCTGTGCTCCAGTTCTATCAATTGTCCAATAGTGAAGAGAGGAAGTTCTGTATATGCTGTTTGTGACAAAGATATTTTCCCCCTTTCCTTAGTCTTTAAAGAAAGTCGGCCAAGACTCCATCGTGCTGCTTATCTGCATAACAGTCTTTCTCTCCTACCTCCCTGAGGCAGGCCAGTATTCCAGCTTCTTCTTGTATCTCAGACAAGTAAGCATTTGCCTAACTGTTTTGATTGTGGAAAGATTAATTTACAGACATGAGGGATGGCTAGCCAGATTGAGTTGCTTTTCCTTGTATTGTCATGCTCCTGCTGTCCTTGAAAGGAATGAACAACTTGTGTGGAATTGTTTGCATTCCTTAAGAGTGAACTCATTTCCTGTAGAAGAAATTAGGGTGGTCCACATGTGTGTTCCTTGAGAATTTTTCTACATAAAGGCTAAGTCAGTGAGCTAAAATATTCGGTTACTTGAGTGTGTTGGCCATAGTTTAGCATGCTCATATATAATTAAAGTCAAATGACCAAATAATTTTTCTCATCTAGATGATGAGCTTTTCACCGGAAAGTGTTGCAGCATTTATCGCAGTCCTTGGGATTCTCTCCATTGTTGCACAGGTAAGGTATAACTGGCAATTGTGCATCTGTGGCTGAAGTTCTGTTTGTAGAATCCTTGCAAGAGAGGGCTGCCTGTTTACCATCAATGATGGATGAAAGGCGTTAATACATCCTGAAAACCTGAATCTTTTATACATACTTTAAGATAGGGATTTTTAAAGTGTGGCCTGTGAAACCACAACAAAAATAACAGGAATGAAGGCTTCCAGTGCATACTTATATGCCAAGTTTTCTTTTTCTGGACTGCAATGTAGTAGTATGGAAAAATGCATGGAATGAAAGAAAACAGCTCCTGTTGCTATTTAGCCCGTAGATATTGTTTTGTGTTTGCTTTGTGCCGCTGGGACAGAATCCAGGGCTAAATCTTCCATTATGGCTATATTGTGAGGACCTTTTAAAAGGCTTCCCTGTACAATATATGATATGCTTTCTTGTGCAAGTGAGGAGTGACATGATAGAGGTCCACAAAATTGTTTCATTGTCTTCTACCTTTTATTGCATTGTCTTCAACATACAACACCAAAGATCCATGCCATTACTTTGTTTTCCATTGACACCATTTATCCTTGAAAGTAAGACACAGACCTCAGTGGGACCCACTCCCTTGTAAATGTGTTTAGGATTGCGACCTTAGATTCTAAATTCACTATAATAATAAATTCCCATGTCTTTGCTCATTTCAACTAGAGAAGAAAGGTGGGAAAAAAATTATGGCCACAGCAGAATTAGCGGACAGTACTTAACTCTGAAACAGGGTGGTGCCTTTTCCTAACTTTTTACAACAGATTGTTCCAAGTCTCCCCCTCCCCCTGAATATTACTTAAAACCACATTTTCATTGTTCATGGAGTACTAGCCATGCGTTTCTGTGGATAACAGCTTTTATCAAATCTCTATCCTGGTTGTTTACAGTAGTCGAATCTATGTTGCCAACTGAAATGCTGCCATTTTCCTCCCCACAGACAATAGTTCTGAGTTTACTTATGAGGTCAATAGGAAACAAAAACACCATTCTTCTGGGACTGGGGTTTCAAATATTGCAGCTTGCGTGGTATGGCTTTGGCTCAGAACCTTGGTAAGTCATTTTTCAGCGTGTTGCTTTTTTATATTGTTGCATTTCAGGTGCACTCTGTTCTTTAAACAAATCTCTCGGTATTAAGTGAATTAGAGACTCTCAGATGCTTTGCCCTCCTTCATGGTATTGGAACTTCTGTGTAAAGCTGTGTTGGCTGCAGTTAGTGAGTCTTGTCATGCAGTCTCTTTGTAGCTAGACTTTAAATAGACTCAAGTGTGATTGAGAAGACATTCCTTGGCAATAATGACCTGTCATTCTCTTGATTGTCCTTACAGAAATCCTGTGTTCATCCTATTTTGCTACTGCTTTCTACATTGTTTGCACTTTGAAATTTGCTTAGGGCAGAGCTGCCGAAGCAGTCCTATCAGATGTAAAGGCTTTATTAAATTTGTGCTATATTAAAAAACAAGCAAACATGATCTTGGAGTAATGAATGCCTGCCTGGACTATGAAAGATGCTCAAGGTGTATGAAATTAACTTACAGTTCTGTTGAACTGTCACAGGTGGTTATTTATGGGAACTTGACATGATTAGTCTCACTGATTGTGCTTTTCAGGATGATGTGGGCAGCAGGGGCTGTTGCAGCCATGTCGAGCATCACGTTCCCAGCCGTTAGTGCTCTAGTTTCACGGACAGCGGATGCTGATCAGCAGGGTAGGTATTTGAAATGATCTGTCCCTGTTTCATAAGACGGACTCCTGAAGTTAAAAAAAATTTTCTCTGCTTAGTGCTGGAGACATTACTTAGGCCATCTTGGCGAGGGGACAGGCTGAAAGCTACTAGCCATATGCATTCTTTAGCATCAATAGATAACTATGTTTTACAAAAATGTTCATTACTATAATAATAATTCTATTATTAATTAATTCACTTATTGTTTATTTGTTTGTTTATTATTAATTTGATTATTAATCCATTCTGGGCGATGTACAGAAGGCAAAATGCCATAAAACCAATACAAATGTTTAAATATCCATGTACAGTCAATAAGATAAAACCAGAATAAAAGATCCCTGATGGCTATTTATAATTTTCTGTTCCCATTCTGGGCTGCCCGGCCATTTGGTGGGGGGTGGGAAACATAAACAAAATATATATAGGGGGAGAGGGAAGGGAAAAGGGTGCCAGCCAGTGCAACCAGCAATTGCTGTCCTCAACCGGAAGCCTGGTGGAGCATCTCTGCCTTACAGGCCCTGTGGAATTGCAAAAGATCCCGCAGGGCCCTGGTGTCATTCGGCAGAGAGTTCCACCAGGTTGGGGCCAGGACTGAGAAGGCCCTGGCCGAGGCCAGCTGGACATTCTTAGGGCCAAGGTTCATCAGCAAATTATCAGTGGAGTGCAAAGCTCTCCTGGGGACATAGTGGAGAAGGCGGTCCCATAAATACGTTGGTCTCAGACTGCCCAAGGCCTTAAAGGTCAGTACCAAAACCTTGAACCTGACCCAGTACTCTACTGGAAGCCAGTGTAGGTGGCGCAGCACTGGTTGAAAATGTGCTGTCCATGACGTTCCTGTCAGGACACGCGCCGCTGCATCACTTCAGAAGTAGAAATCAAAAGGTTTATTGGTAGTCTGTAGACTGTTGGGAGATTGCAGTTTCCAAGCGAGGCAGGCAAATGTGTTGAACATGCTGTGTCTTTTTTTATCATGACCCCAGTGTAGAAAAGCAGGCGTTTGCCTCTTTTAAAAAAGACAGTTCTGAGAATTGATTGTTTTCTAGGTGTCGTACAAGGAATGATAACAGGAATTAGAGGACTCTGTAACGGCTTAGGACCAGCACTTTACGGTTTTATATTCTACATTTTCCATGTGGAACTGAATGAAATTCCAGAGGCTCAAAATGACCTGGCAGACAATGTGGCTGTGCAGCACCATTCGCAGCAGGTATTGTCTAGGTTGCAGGGAGATGGGTGTGTGTCCATGTGATGACAAACAGGATCACTTTTCAGTCTTCAGTTTATTTCTACAGTCCTTAGACCAGTCATCAAGATCACTTTGTACATTAGATCTTTGGGTGTGAGTCTAGAAATAGAAGCCGTGATTGTACCCAGCACATGCTTTGCAGATGCCTATCATGCAGGTGCTGCAGTAGGGAGCATGACCTGCAGTTTTTGTGAGTGAGCAGGCTGTCATGCTGGATTGCAGGTTTCTTTCACACGTGCATTAGGTGGCAGACCCAGGCTAGCTACTCTGAAATGTGTGAGTTGGCTCAGTGAGTAATGTTGAAATCATGTAAGCTTAGAAGTTGCCATAAAAGTATTTTCTCTAGTAAGCAAAGGCAAGGCAAGGCTTAAATGAGTAGAAAGCTTGGTACATCTTTAATTGTATTTAGTGAATTCTTTTGGTGACTTAAAAGCTAATTGGCATACAAGCCCAGTGCATATGTTCTACAAATGCTGGAGTACATGATCATGGCTTGAGTTCTCTCAAGGCTGGTACATACCAAATGTGTCTTACATGGTGAAAGTAGTTGCAGAATTTAAGACTTGTTTCTTCATCCCTCTGTGATCCAAATATGTATACATGGCTGTCTTTATTTAGGAAAGAGTTAGAGTCCAGTAGCACCTTAAAGACTAACAGAATCTGTGGCAGGGTATGAGCTTTCATGTGAGTCACTGCTTACTTTTTCAGATACCAGATGTATCTGCAGAAGTGAGCAGTGAATCACATGAGAGCTCATCCCCTGCCACAAATGTTGTTAGTCTTTAAGGAGCTACTGGACTCTTGCTGTTCTCTGCAGCTACAGACAGACTAACGATGCTACCCATCTTATATTGATTTAGTGACAGAATTTATACCCTGCCTTTCTGCCCTCATCAGGACCATCAAGGCAGGTAACAGATTAAAAACCTGAGTAATCAAAGCACTTCTTAAAAACCATGAAAGCCAACCAAAATACACGTACAATATAATAAAATACACATACAAAAATGACTAGTTAAAAGCAGGGCAGGAAGGAGGGACCACTGAGGGAAGGTGCATCGCAAGCAGACAAGTATAGATTTCAGACCCTGCTAGCCAAACTGAGGAGAGCAGGTAGCCAGCTGTTACTAGACTAATGTGCCTATTTAATAGCCAAAAGCTACAGTTCAGGCAGGTTCTGTGAACTGCTGTTATCTGCACATATTTTATTCTTAAACCTGTGTTCCTGGCTACAGAAAGTAAGTGAGGGGGGCTCTTGTTGGATTGGGGGATAAACAGTTTTCTTCTCACCTGTTACCTCTCCCCAATTATACCACAACATGAGATCCCTGCTCCCTCTTAAGCCTCTAAACTGAATGGAGCAAGAGCCAGGACCTTTTGCTTGACAGTGTTTCATCACAGCACAGATGCTCATTCAGTTTGGGTTTTTTGCTCCTCCCTGTCCATGTTGAAGGAGGAAAGTCCATGACTGCTTGGAAATCTTCCTTGGGTATGTGAAAACATCCCTCCTCCTTCGTTGGTGATTGCATTTTGCTGCCTTAACAGCCCATGGGCTAAAGGGAACAATAGTTCATGAAAGTGCATCTTTCCTTTCCAATTACTGGCTAACTGGATTAACCTGTTATCTTGGCACACTGTAAGATTTGGAGCACTTCTGTGGTTTAAATTCAAACACAGGCAGCACCCAGAGGCAAATTATTGTTTGCTTTTAGTGGCCCAGAGTTCAGTGCCTTCTAACCTTAGACCAGTACAGAGAGGGAAGTAACTGGGATAACCTTCCCTTTCTCATACATTATGTCGGGGGTGGGGGGTTGTGTGCATTCTACTGACGTAGACAATCTAGAGAAGAACATGGCATCAAATAAGTGAACAGTTTATGTTATATATGTTAAGCCTATTTTGTTTATGTGTTTTTTTCTTTTCAGAACGCTATCATTCCCGGTCCTCCTTTCTTATTTGGAGCATGCTCTGTATTACTGGCTCTGCTTGTTGCCTTGTTTATTCCTGAACACACCAACTTAAATGTTCGTTCCAGTAACTGGAAGAAGCACTGTGGTGGCCATGGCCATCCACACAGTCCACAGGCCCCTGGGGAGGCCAAAGAACCTTTGTTGCAAGACACAAATGTATGACAGCAGCACTCCAGGACTCTTAGAGCACATTTCTTATTTCTATTTTTTTTCACCTGCAGTTCTGGATGCACATTCCATTTCCATCAAAAAAGTGACATTTCTTAAGAGGGTCTTAAGAAATTCTCTTTGCATGAAAATTGTAAGAACCACAACCAGGAAGTGGAAAATCCTCCAAAGAAGTTAAGATTTAAATTATTTGAATCTTTTAAACTCTACTTAGGACTCTTGCCATAAAGTCCTCAGTAAATATTAAATCTTTACATCTTAATTTTGAAACTATGTATATCTCTATATCTATATATTCAAGGTATCAGCATGTGTTCCTGCATCAGTTTCCTGAAGGTGTTGAGCTTTATTCTCTTCATGCTGGTCTCAATGAGGCATATAAGCAGGACTTGAGGACCCGTTTAAAAATAAAATCTTGGGTTAGATGAATTTCAAAGCCTTAATGTAGATGCACTTGACTAAGTGGTGAACGGGGTTGACCTTGGACTTTTGAATCAGTGTCTGACAGGTTTTGTTTTGAGTTGTTACTAACACAATCATGTGTTAAACACACATCCTGAGCAGTACACACACTTTTAAGTGCATTACTCTAATTCTTTCTGTTCTTTGAACTAAGTATAGTATCCATTTGTAGTACTTATAAGTGGGTGGTATGAACCTACAAGATTTTGTTACTGGCTCTGAAACTCTTTATCTTCCTAACTAGAATTTGATACCACTACACTTAAATGTTTTGCATAAGGACCTCAAAACTTGAATACAAACTCAACTCTTAAGCTGATAGCCTTGAAGATGTCAGTGTGCTCCATATGGGATTGCCATTTCAATTGTTGGACAGGATCACTGGAAACCAAGATGGTAGAGCTCAGGAAAAGTGGCAGTTGATCTTTTCCCTGATTTCTGACTCATAACATATGATGGGGGGGGGGAGTTGGCAGATAGTTCTGTCTAGTAACAGCAATGGCAATCCTTGATCTATAGTGGCCTTTCAGGACTGTCACAAGTAACATGTCACACAGCCAAGGGTTAGTCCTGCAGTTCCAGGACCACAGTATAGGAGAAAGCTTTATACAATTACTGATGTGAATTTCTCTAGAAGTGTATATTTTTGTGTCCAGTTGTATTATTTAAATGTTCCTTTGTATAAAATGTGTATAAAGTATTGTACAGTTCAAAATGTTTTCATCTTGTGCTGTGGTTATTGTTTAAGCTTTTTTAACTTTCACCATGGTTGAGTAAAAACTGGCCAATATGTAAATACATTGTTAATAAAGTTGAATATTTTAGTGATTTTTCACAATTATTTACAACAATGCTGTATAGGAGCATTTTTATAGGTATGCATTTATAGCTTTCTTTGTACTAATTCAGTTTTTACTTGTTCCTGATACTTGTATGTTCCACATTTCTAATTGGGTCAAGTAAAAATAGACACTTGTACTAACCAGTACAGTTGGGCGGAATTCCTCATGGTTTAAGGGTTTATATACTATGACATTCTGAAGCAGAAAATAACAGTTGTATAAGGAATTCTGTTACATATTTACACACATTCATCCACTGTAACAAGTGTTAATAAATGTATTGAATAAGTCTTTTATTTAACTGTCTTTCAGCCATACCTAGTACTCAAGACAGTTCACAATCCAATTCTAGAAATGTTCAATGTCTGAAAGAAATCATTTTCCAACCTTGACCAGCCTGTTTGTGAGGGACTCTAAACAGCTGTGATCACTTTCAACGGTATTCTTTAGGTAGAGGTGGCAATAGTAAAATCCCTTTATGTTGCAGCCGGTCATGCTTCAGATAAGGGCTCTGAGAAAGGCCTCTTGTTTAGCTCAAGTGCCAGGTCAGGCAGTAAGAAGGAGATTATCCTTTCACACTTGTATTAGGCTTGGAAACTAAATGAAAGCTGGTATAGATATAACTGGCTTACCAAGATCACTGCAATGTGTACTGTCCCCAAAACAGTCCCATATACAGTAGAAGTCTGGATGTCTATGACATGGTTACTGTTCCAAGTTTTCCCCCCCCAGGAGCAGGCCAAGCTAGTGAACAAGCCTTATTTTCAGGCAGCTTCTGCCATTTGCTTGTCAAAAGATAATGTGGAACCTAGAAGTACCCCCAAGCTGCGTACCTGATTTTTATGTAGAGTGGAACCCACCCCAATCCTAGATTACTTTTTGTCCCTAGCCCCAGAACTTTTATTTTTAGATGAAGTTATTAATCTAGTCTTTTGCCAAATCCAGGCATCGTTTTAGCACTGATTTTACTGGGCAACAGATAATATTATCCCATTGATCAGTGAAAGATTACTCCAAATTTCCAGCTAAATCTCCCAGTCATTTTATATAGAAGCTAAAACACCCTGGGAATAAAATTTATTCCCCTGAGGGAGCTAGAAGGAATTCTTATGTGTAAGGATGTGTCACTGATGACCAAGATCAAGAAAATTCATGCCATAGTATTCCCCATTGTTTGGGTGTGAAAGTTGGATAATGAAGAAAGCTGACAGGAAGAAAGTTGATTCATTTGAAATGTGTTGGAGGATAGCTTTAAAGATACCTTGGACTGCCAAAAAGATAAATAAGTGGGTTCTAAACCAAACCAAACCTGAACTCTCCTTAGAAGCTAAAATGAGTCTGTTGTATTTTGGTCATGTTCTGAAAAGACAATGCTAGGAAAAGAGGATGACCTAACATGAGATGGAGGAACGCAGTTAAGGAAGCCACAGTCTTTTTCAGTTTGGAAGACCTGAACAAGGCTGTATTATAGAGTGAGGTCATTAATTCATAGTTGGAAGTGACTTGACTGCACATAACACACAATAGTCCCAAAGTATTGTGTTCATTTCCTCCTGGAAGGTAGGTACCAGAAGCTCTTGAAGTACAGAGCCTCCCAGATCCATCCCTGCTAGACAGTCAAGAACATTACCATGATCAATGATATCAAAGGCCAATGAGAGGTCAAGGAGGGCCTGTGTACAGGGACACACACTCCTTGTTGGTCAACTGGCAGAGAGCATCTTATGAGAAAACGTGATTTCTATGATATAACCCAGCCTGATTGGAAATAATTTAGATATCATTTCATCCAGGGGCACCTTGGGTAATTCAGCTACCACATTCACCATTCCCCCGCCCCCTCAAGTGATGTATATTATTCTAGCAACAGTTCAATGTAATACACCCAATACTGTGTAAATTAAAAACAGTGCTACCCTATGCAGCAAGCAGAGGTACACTCATTCAACCTTACGCTACATTTTTGGTTCCCTGAACTAGAAAAACCGGTTGCTTACCTGTAATTGATGATCTTCGAGTGGTCATCTGTGCAGTACCACACATGGGTTGGGTGCCTGCGCACGACCTTAATCCGAGAATATTCCAGAGCTTGCCTCAGGATCCTTTTTGGCGGCCTCTCTTCCCGCACTGGGGAGCAGGCACGGACTGCGCATGCCTGGAGTGGGGGAGAGAGCCACCTCCCACTCAGTTCCTTCAACCGCTATCGGTAAGTCCCATCAACAAAGGTAAGTGATCAGGAGATGACAGCAGTGGGGAAGACTAGGTCGGATTGTGGTACTGCACAGATGACCACTCGAAGATCATCAGTTACAGGTAAGCAACCTGTTATCTTCGTCGTGGTCTCTGTGCAGTCCCACACATGGGTGATTAACGAGCTGAACCAGATAAAGGAGGGAACTGGCAGCTGAAAAACATAAGAAATAGGTTAGGACATAGCATAATTGTTTCAATGTACAGGTCCTACCTGTAGAAGTAGAAGAATCAGTTGAAGAGAGACTTTAGCACCACTTGGCCAAAAGCAGCATCCCGTTGAGCTCAAATGTCCAGTGCATAGTGGGTCACGAAGGTTGAAGTGGAGGACCACATGGCAGCAGCACAGACATCTAACGGGACACCAGCCAGGAAAGCAGTTGAAGTCGAGACTGCCCTTGTGGAATTAGCGGTGGCAGAGGTAGGTATGGGTTGGCGCGCTAAGTCATAGCAAAGGGCTATGGTTGAGGTCACCCACTTCGATCATCGCTGAGAAGAGATGGCCTCGCCCTTGCATAGGGAGGCATATGCAACAAAAAGCCTTTGAGACTTTCTAAAGTGTTCCGTGTGGTGGGGATAAAAGGAGAGAGCTCTCCAGACATCGAGGCAGTGTAAGGTTCTTTGCGGAGCGTCAGCCAGGTTTGGAAAGAAAGTGGGTAGGACAGAAAACTGAGACAGGTGAAAAACAGAAACCACTTTAGGGAGAAAGGATGGGTCTGGTCTGAGAACAACTTTCTCGTGAAAAATAGTGTATGGAGGATCTGCACAGAATGCAGCAAGTTCTAGAAACCGGCGAGCCGTCATGACAACAATAAGGAATGCTGTTTTCCAGGACAGAAGCTGAAGGTCTATCAAAGCCATGGGCTCAAATGGCTTAGACATCAGGTGAGAGGACTAGAGACAGGCTCCAGGATGGCACCATCAGTTTCCGAGGCAGACCAAGGTAGAGGAGACCCTTGAGAAAGGACTTCATGAGGCGGTTAGAGAACACCGTAGATCCCTGAATTGAAGGGTAATGTGTGGAGATAGCCATAAAATGCACTTTCAGGGAAGAGTATGCTAGACCAGATTCCTTTAAGGATATGATATAAGATAAAATATGTGACAAGGAGGCATGGGTTGGATCGAAGGAATGGTGTAAGGCATAGGTTTGAAAGCGCTTCCACTTCAATAGATAAGTGTTGCGGGTGGATGGTTTCCGGGCATTAAGCAACACTTCCCAAACCGCTGGTGGGAAGTCTACTGGGAGATCTTCCAAGCCGTGAGTTTGAAAAACCCTGGATTGGGGTGGAGGATTTGGCCCCGATCTTGAGAGAGGAGATCCAACACACGAGGGAGGTGAAGAAACCGTCCTCTGAACAACTGCAGGAGGTGATGGAACCATAGCTGGCATGGCCACCAAGGAGTGATGAGGATGCATGTGGTGGCATCCGCTACAATTTTCTGGAGAACTCTGGAGATGAGAGAGAATGGAGGGAAAAAACAGAACAGGGTCCCAGTCCAGCTATGGAGAAAGGCACCCCCGAGGGATCTAGCGGACGGGGGACCTTAAGCAAAAAAAAGAGGGCATCGAGCGTTCTCTGGAGTCACAAAGCCGTCTATAGTT